TCCCGGCTTGTGGCAGGGGGGGTGGACTAGATGACCTTTGGAGGTCCCCTCCAGCCCAGACATTCTATGATTCTATGCTGGGAAGAGCAGCATAGTATTCTGCTGTCTGTCACTCCTCTATGGACAACACAGAAATAGCTGCTCAGACTGAGACAAGCTAGAGGCAACCAGAAAACAATCTTTCTTTGTTACTCTCTTGGTCTGTGGTTCTGTTCTGTCATTAGCCTGCTGCAGTGCTGTTGTTGAAAGCTGCCCAGCAAGTGTCTTCCCCTTGTTAGTTCAGGCAACACCAGTTCCTTCTTGAAGGGCATGTAGATCAGCAGCAGAGGCACATGTGTCACTATCTTTTGTGGTTCCAGAACCAGCAGCATCTAGGCAGCAGCAATTCAACTACTAGACCCATCAAAAGCAGGTGGTGGATCTAAGCAGCAGACCTCTATCCCCTGAAGACTAAAGAGAGATTCCCTGGGAAAAAGTTAAAAAGAAAGGTGCCACCAGGAAAGTTTTCACTCATGAGAACTATAGCTTCCCCAAAGGAAGGGGAAAAAAAAAAAAAAAAAAAAAAGAGAGAGAATAAGGAGGCAGCCTGTGAAAAGGCAGACAGTCTGATTACTTCATTCTGCTCCAGTGACAGCAGCATTCACCAGTTCAGGTACCACTTCACTTCAGCACTCATGTAGGTTCCTGAGTAAGGTACTCCAGTCAGAAAAACCACCAGAAACACAGGCTGGAGAGGGCTTGTTGGAGCCAAGCAGGCTGGTGATGCTTCCTCATCACTCAACAGCGAGATCTACGAGCCAGTCCAACCCAGTCTGAGTATGTACAGCCTCCTCCAAACATGGCCATTAAGGGAAGTTTGGAAAAGTACTTCAGGTAGTACTCAGTTGTGAGACAACACTGGGCAGTCAGACAAAACAGGCCCAGCCCGTGAAGAGCTGCCCAGCTCTGTCCTCAGAGACCATCACTGTCCTTCTGTAAGGCAAACAATAATCCCGTGTGTGTAACTAAGAACAGCCATGCACTTGTAAGGAGCACATGGTCTTTGACAGCCATTCTCAACATCGACAGCCCACAGGAGTATGGCAGGTCTGAGGATCTTTATTTCACAGTCATCAAAAGGGATGAATTACATACTATAGTATCCACAGGTAGGCAGCAAATTGTCATTAACAACGTGGTACTCACTTTGGATTTAATGACAGGATGTGAGACTGCACAGCGGTACTCAAGGTACTGAGGCAACTCCAAAGGCTGGCAGTGAAAACAAGACACTAAACCTGGAAAAAAATCAATTGGCCCAACTAGGGCTCAGGGAGAAAAAAATATTATCACATTGATGCCAGGGGACAAAAAGAGTTTCAAACAGCAGCAAGTAAGAATATACCCAAAGGGAAATCAATAAGATGGGCATGGACAGAACAGATGTGAGAGGGAGAAGCTCAGGGCTAGTCATAACCACAGCTGGACCAGATCCCAGCAACATATTTCACTGCATGGAGCAACATGCCCTACACTTTTTGTGGTGTGTTAAATTAGTCTGTCTTCATCCCTTCCCAGCCAGCTCACAGTCCAGCAGTAAGTTACAGCCCTGCGTGCAAATTTGGTTAGTGAGAGTAGCCCACAGCTCCCCATCCCTTGTAACGGACTGGTGCAACTCATCAGAGGCTTGGGACGCGTAAGCCACACAACACATGAGAACAAAGACAGGTGGAAGCTCTTGCCAACCACAGAGCATTGCTTGGTGCCCTGCTTATGCAGCAGTCCCAGGCACAGCTACTGAAGTTGTGTTTCTGGATTCACGGACCCTACCCCATGGAGAGCCATATGACAGCACTCCTCAGGCTGACCTGGACTCAGCTGACATGTTGAAACCAGAGAGACACCTGAAGTACTGTAAGGGCTTGGACACTCCACAGAGAATTAATATGGCCTGTAGTTCCAGTAACTGGAGAAAACACAGATCTGGAAAGCAAGAAAAGCAGGTAAGTTCCTGTATCCTGTAGGTCGTAGAAGAATGAGCATACAACGCACGTGTGAAGATTGAACTTTACAGCATTACACACCCCAGCACTGCACTGCAGAAGGGCAGAGTTGCTGTTATTGTCACTTAAGAGGCTTGAAGGACAAAGTTACTTGTCGCTCAAGGTGGCAGCCAGGCAAGCTGCAGAGCTAGAACTGAACACCGGTCTACTGAAATCCAATTTGCTGAGGTCTCCATGCCTCCTCTCCAGCACCTTGGAATTTCGTTGCATCCAGCTCATGACTGAGAACCCAAAAGTGTCTACCTGCTCTTCTCCACCTAGTCACTAGTAGAGCAAAGACATCTGCCACACTACTACACATTACCCCATACAGCTGTCTACTAGGCAGTGGCAGCCAGCTCCCTGGCTCCAGAATACCAACTCATGGCTTGCTTTCAGTTTAGATGCAAGTTGTACAGAATAACACATCAGACTTTTATGTGATCTCAGGTCCTCTCAAAATACAGAGTTAAAAGCAAAGCCCCTTCTCTAAGGCCATTACCTTGTCCTTCAGTTGCTGACAAAGCTGCAGTGAAACTGTGAAGAAGACAAGGGCATCATTTAGCCATGGGACAACACATTCCACTTTATGGACGTGGCTGACTTCATACCGCTGGTTGCCAAACTCACTGGAGTGAGAGCCAAAAAGAGCACAGCTTTACACACAACAGCACAGAACACAAAACTCAACTGTTCTTACAGAAGAGATTATTATAATTTCTACTACATTTAAAACAGCAGCTGGCAAAGTTACAGAATGCAAACTCTCAGTCTACCTCAGACTATATTTAGAGTTGAGCTACATCTAAGAGGGTTAAGGTCAAAACTTTACCCCTTTTCAGAGAGGCACAAAGGCAGGAAATGCAGATGACAACACCGATAACCTAATGTTCATTTTGATTAATGGTTCTCTTCTCTAAACAAATCCATGGCACTTTATGGGTGGGCTGCATCCTGAAAAGTCACATCCTTGGGCCTTTATGACTGAGCAGTTACAGAAACACTACTGTGGGCACCTGTGCATTCAGAGGCACAGCCACAGCAGGTGACTCAGTCCAACTTCTCCATATGCTACCACCAAAGCTGTGTACAGCCACGTGGATCTCATCCTCAGCACACTCCTACACATGTTACTCAACCCTTCAGTGACTGTACTTACAACATGGCTCCAGGGTTGTGTAGAATGGACCCTCCAGCAGGCTTGAAGTTCTAAAGGTGAAGGAAAAGGTCATTAGGATTTTGATGCAGCAAACAAACTACTTAGAATAACCATGTTTAAGGTTTGAGCTTTCAGTAGTATGACACTATAGGCATTTCTTGATGTATCTGCCCAAATACTCCATTCATATGGAATCTATGTAATTAGATCTTTTCCTGCTCCTTCATGAAAAGAAATTCTACACAGTGGCTGTGTCCAACTTGGCTCCAAACTCTAGCACCACAAAAATAAGATGAGAAGAACCAGAAGAAAAACAAATGATAGATTTCAGAAAAAAACACCCTTACAGAAGAACTGCATTTCATAAAGCTTAGGAGTTTTTAATTCTGTTTTTACAGGACATCAAGCTGACCCAAATGCAACAGGTGAAGCAGAGAGGTATATATCAAAACTCCATTCAGAAAACCCAAGATGCTACTTTAATGTGAACTGGATTAATACAGTTATGCCCTTCCAAAATTACACATTATCAAACTGTATTGTAAGATTACTTGTCAAAAAATAATTTTACGCATTACTTGTCAAAAAGTAATTACTGGCTTTCACCAGAGCACTGGTATTTTCTTCTGGGCTATGTGGCCATGCCCCAAACTAGATTTAGAGCCAGCGTTCTTTCTGCAGCAGGTCTGAACACAGACACTTAAACACCAGTTACAGTAATTTCAGCATTATCTTATGCATATAACATTGCACCGTGTAGCAGTGTCACCTCCTCCCAGTGGGACACAGGGAGCAGTAAATAAACAAAGCTCAAGAGATAGCAGACATCACCTTGGTTGTACTGGGCTGCAGCATGTGGAGCTGGTAGACAGTCAGACACAGCTTATTCAGGTTAATATAGAAATTCACAAGGATGTCTGGAGGCAGAGCAGGGGTAAACATTTTCTGGTGAGAAAATAAATAGTTTCTTTGTCAGTAAAAGGGCCATTATTTCTAATGCTATGAAATCACTACCTTTTTCTAAGCCATATCCCATCTTGAGAGGGACATTAAAGACTGAGCAGCTTGCAGGCAATGGTTTTTCCTCTTGCTGCACTTGATCAAATGGTGTCTGTGTGACAGTGGCAAAAGAGGATGGAGTAGTGTTTGCATCACAAATCCCTCCTGGACAAGACTCCTAGGCAGAGAACAGAACTTACTCTCTAAGAAGCAGAGTTCTTGTACTCAAGTAATGTGTTTTCCCACAGGAAGATCCAGAGCAGCCAAAAATGCTCAGGGTTTGCACATCCTTCAGCTCTCTCTTTCTGCACTTCAGAAATCCACTTCCACCAGGATGCAGCAAAATATTCTAGCTGTTGCATGCTGCCATACTGCATAGAGATCTAGGCCACTACATACTTACTACATACTTACTGTGAGACCACTGGAGGCAATCTCTGGTAGAGTCAGAGTGGCTGGAGTGGTAAGCCGATTTCGGGCTCTTGAGAGCTGCAACATCACAGCATCCATCAGCTACAAGATAACATACAGCACACTGCTGAGTGGTGATCCCTGGACAGCCCTGGATAGTGTGCAGAGTCCTCCAGCCTTTTCCAAGTGTTACAAAATCCACCATAAATGCCACCACCACTCCCTTGCCCTTCCAGGAATTCAGGGCATTATTGGGAAGGGGTGGCTCCCACACAGACGCACTTCAACTGTTACCACTGTCACAGACACTTGTGAGACAGGCCAGGAGTGTTTAATACCAGGGACTGAAGAGAGAATAGCTATTCATTAGAAGAGTAAAAAGAGAAAATGAGATCAATTACTGATGCCACAGAAGCATTGACAAACTCATCAACACCTCTTCTGAAGAGCAGGCATTAAGGGAAAACAACAAGCTGTGTTTTAGTTCTCCCCATTCCCGAATCACATGTACAACAACTGCGGAATGGGCACCCCCCCATTCACAACCATCTATGAGCTAGGGCACTAGAGAAAAGACACAGCTCATTGTGAGTCCAATCCTGCCAGAAACCACAGTTCAAAGGCTCTCTTCAGGCAGAGTTCCTTTCCCAGGAAAAGAGAAGCAACATACATCTGTGATAGAGCTCATGACTGCTAAGATGAAGGCATTTCATAGTACGACTAATTTCTCCCCTGTACTTCCACCTAAAAAGGAAATACTTCTAGCTTCTTCTTATTAGCAGCCTCTGTCCATATAGACTAAACCAGTTTAGCTTTCTCATGTTTGATAATGTCATGGACTCTAAGGAGTAAACTGAAACTCTGATAGCTTCAGAGAGCACTGACAAGCAGAGGGCTGGGCTTTATTGCCACACAGATCTGATCTGTATCAGACCACATTAACTACTACTAGCAAGTGAGAAGTCACTTACAAATCATACAGTTAGGAGTACTAACTGTAATCTTTTGTTTGCAGATGACTGCATTATTTCTGCTGAACTGGCATAGATTCATATGAAATACGAGGTCACATGGATACTCCTTGACACAGGTATGTATGGGTACACCTGGGGAATCCATTTCCTGTAGGAGACTAAAGACAGTAGTGTGCATTAACTGTGTTTAAAACAACAAATGAAGAGAAGAAAAATACATATTCCATACAAGCCCATGTAGAGAGGGCTTTCTCCTCACCTTGAGAACCTCCAAGCCTGTTTTGAACTGGTAGTTCACATCTCTGTTCACAAGCAGGTAAATAGCCTGGTTAACATGGTTTCTAGCATCCTGGATCTGCAAAGGTATAAATGCAGCCCTGTTAGAGAAACACCCCATATACACGCTAGGAAGCAGAGGTTTCCCTGATTATCTCGTTAGCCCTAAGAAAATGCTGACTTCCCAAATCATAAGGCCATTTTTCTCTGCCTACCAGACACTCACTAACACAAATTTGCCACTGCTTCTCAGAAGCATTACTGGGTTCTTCCCTCTGGAGATGCCAAAGAATGTGATAGCTACAACCCAGATTGTCAACAAAAACATTGCTGCTGCCCTGACGGAATAGGGACATGAGGAACTCTCATCCTGGGACAACTGTTCATGACTGTTCACGAAGGAAGTCTCACTGTTGACAGTATATGGCACTCAGGTCTAGCAACACAAATAATGATTTTTTTTTTCCTTATGAACTATTAGAACTAAGCCAAATGATGGGTTAAATCAGCAGCAATGAGCAGAAAACATTGATTTCTAATACAGTGTCTCTGGCTACCTCCAGAGTCCTTCTGAACTATAATTATTAGGGTTGAGAGTTGTCTCCAGCATCAGGAATCTGCTATCACATCACTTGTGTGGAACTTGACCAGAATAAGGACACAGCTAGCTCAAGGTCCTCTCAAGCTTGCAGTCAAGAGACAATATCAAACATGGTTGATAGGTGTATCATGCTTCCATGGGAGCAAGGACGAATCAGAGGAAGAAGAAAATGGCCCACAGAGAAAGTGACTTGTGTTCAGTTGCAGGCAGCACCAGAAAAATTGAATAAAAGCAAAAGGGTAAATTGGAGGGTGCAAAAAATGGAAAAGGTAAACAAGGAAGCCTGTATGAGAGGTGGCTGCTGGGAGATGGATAACATGGTTTGAGATATTTGTAGTTTGATATATCTACACTGCTCCCCAGCAACCCCAAATCTCAGCTCAGCCTTGTAGAGACCTCTCTGGCATAGATCTGGGCACTGGTACCTCTGCACACTGAGCTCAGGGATCACAGAACAGCCCTGCTCTCAGAAAGCACAAGGCACTAGAGTCTACAGAGAGAAGACAGAGATGATCAAGACCATGGTCAAGACTGCAGAAAGACTCTGCAGCTACTTGGGCTATCACATCTCCAAACTTCAACACCTCCAGCCTCTACATCCCATATATGCTTCTTAACAAGCTAAGCTACCCAACCCAGCAATGCAAATCCTGCTACTATAATGACCCGCCTCATTCCTATTCCCCCTTGATTTTCTCTGTTTACCAATCAAGTACGTTGCTGTTTTCTAAATCAAGTTCCTTAACACTTGTGTGCCTGCACTTGTGCTCCTTAAAAATGTGCCTATACTACAATTTCTTACCAATGACTTGACTTTGAACAGAGAAACAAAACTCCAACTGGCACCACTCACTAAAATACACAATACTTTGAGATGCTCTTTTTTAATTCAGACATGACAAAGATCTCCACATAATCACTGTAAATGCTTCTGCACAGAGTCCTTTAAGCACATTCCACATCTGAACAACATTAGAACACACAGCTCCTGCAGTTACATGAAGGAAGGTGTTTTCCATACAAGCTGGTAGAAGCCTATGAACCAGGCAGCGGTATAATCAGCCGCAAAATACGATGCACTGCTGCGTGTTATCACAAAAATCTCCTTGCCTTGTTGCAAAGCATAAATATACCCAGTGAAGTTTGGCATTAACTTCTCAAGTACACCATTTTCTAGATTTCTACAAAGTTACCAGGCAGAGCTTTCACTCCACTGGAAATTGCACTCAATACCAAGTGCACTGAGCACCTAGAAAAATCTGAGCCGTGGCATAGTGAAGCACCTGAAATACATCTTTCTCCAACCTACTCAGCTATGACCAAGTAACTGTGGGAAGCTACATCTTCAAGATCAGGCCCGAAATTAGGTAACTCCCAGCAAAATGGTGGCAAAGAGGTTCAGTGTCCGCAATAGCTACATCCCTTTGAACGCCTTCACTGAGGGAACTTGAGTCATGCCACAAGAGCACAACACAGTGAGATTTGTTCTCAGCATAAAGAATTGCTGCCCTAAGACAAGGAGAACAAACTACTGAAAACTTCTGAAGCTGCTCTTTCCCCTGCTAGCCCGGGTTTTACAAGCAGACACAAGGCTAGTACTGCACAGGCACCTCAGGTGCTTCTTTTAAAGGACAGACTGCTACACAGACAAGCCTTCAGCCTGCTGGTGTTTCAGGAACAAGCAGAACCCACCCTGTCCTAGCACCATAACTGAATTTAATTGCATGTTTACTCTCCGTTTAAGCTTTCACCACTAGAGTTAACGTGGGATGAACATAACCTTCTCTCTCGGAAAGTGAGGGACTACAGCCCTTGCTTGGAAGGCACAGCCACTGTGGGAGGGGAGGCATCCAAATTTAACAGTACCTGCTGCAATTTCCACTGCTTGTCTTCCCGAAATGCAAAGTGCAGGAGCTGATTATTTCTGGGCATTTTCAGATTAACATCCTTGAAGAAAAACAAACGCATTAGAGCAAGCAACCTCCATATGCAGAGCCTGGAGACTGCCAGCCCCACTCCATTCTGTCTCCCAGACCATCTTGGCAAGCTGCTTTCAGCAGTCCTGGCATGGCCAGAACCTCAGTCCTCCTGCAGGAAGATGCCAGTACAAAGTGCAAGTTGAAAGGCATTTAGTGGCTCCGGATCCAGGCAGGACACATGACCTCATCTCAAAAGGCTCCCAGAGAAAGTCGATATTACACAACAAAGGTGTTAAAGGCAAAGAATCCCCAAGGGAGTCAACTTCAACATTCACCACAGAATGGTGGTGGTATGGGTTAGATGCTGGATCTTGACAAACTTCAACAGTTGCTGAGACATTAAGGATTTAAGGCCTATTAGGGAAGACCAACAAATACTTACTGATCACTGGTAAAGCACAACAAGGATGACCTCTCCCTTGAGGTCGTCATGATATGGATAACTCCCTCCCCTCAATGGTACTACAAAGCAAGAACCGCTGGCAAGTACTCACAGCTTGACACAGGGCGTCTCCTTGCAGGGTCAACACACCTTTCACCTGGTCTGTGCTGCAATGAGAAGACAGACCTTGGCAACACAAGTCACAGGAGGAAAAAGACACCTATCGAAACCGCCAACATGACACCACCCCTCCCTGTCCCTTGTTCCCCCCTTTCCAGGGTCAGATGGCAGATACAGATGAACCCTACACACACTCTCAAGTCACCAGCTCTTGGCCTGCAGCCATTTGCTGAACTAATCTTTATAAGCCACCTCACCCTCACTGCCCTGCCTAAAACACTGTGTTCATTTCTGATCCCATGATTATGTCATGTTTTACCTATCAACAACTTGACTGCAGTTAGAAAAAACTCTAACAGGCACAAACAGAAGACATTAGATGAATTACTGACACTGGAGTGCTACATTGTTCATAGGGGAGCTGAATGCTACAAGTCCCACCCCACCTTCACCCCGCAACAAGAAGAAAACCTAAAACAAAAAATTCCACACCCCAAACCCTTTAAAAGGTCCTGCAAGATGGCACACATCAACAGTAGGGGAAGACTGAAGCACCTGGGCCTGCAGGAACCCAGTTTAGCCATAACTTACATTTTAATACACTAGATGAAGACTCTTTAGATCAAGACTTTTTAAGATCCACCTTGCAACAACAATGAATGAAAACTAGAATCAACTTTACTAATATTTTAAGATCTGAAGAATGCAACTTTTAAACTCAATACAGAATCAGTGCACCATTCTATAAAATGCTCACCATGTTGTTTCTAAGGAAGACTAAGGTCTGGTCCACTACTTTGCAACAAGCTTGTGACCTCTGCCAGAGTACAGCTAGTCAGACCAAGGCCTGTGCTGAAGATCAAAATATGGACAGCTATTTCAGAAGAACTGCACTTCCACAGCACCTTCAACACAGGTCTCAGTTTGCTCTGTGTGAAGCAGATTTATTATTGGTATTTTAGGGAGATCAGGACAAAGGTTAAGGCTTGTCCACAGTCAGAGTTAGAAACTGAATCAAGAGCAGAATTCAGGTCCGTCTTGTAACTGCAACTCTCTGCACCCACAATCAGAAAAATGTCCCTTGGCAAAACTGATGCCATGCACCAGCCTGTGATCAGGAATCAATGACTACATTATAGGTGTCAGCA